AAAAAAAAAAAAAAAAAAAAAAAAAAAAAAAAAAAAAAAAAAAAAAAAAAAAAAAAAACGACTTTTGCTCAGATGCACCTTTTCAAACTTCCCGCCTGTCATTGCTGCCACAGTAACCCGATTAGAAACCGACCTTCCAGCGAGTTTCGGGCCCGTTAATGGTGCCATAAGCTAGGTATACGGACCAATTACGGCACCATACACGGCCTGTGTGGTAAGTGTTAACAGGTGAGTATATGGACCGGGTATGGCAGCCATAGGGTCCGGTAACCGTATACAGTCCGTATAATCTCCAGAGCAGGCAAACGGAAGCGAAGAAAATAAAGCTTAACCAAACTTTAATAAATAGGAAATAATAAATGATCCAAAAGTAATTTATAATAAATGACCCGGCATATGCAAAAATAGCCTTTATTAATCATTTTATGTATCGGTACAACTAGAAATTTGACTAGTACATTAACATTATACGTTACATATTAATCTCTCATTATTCTCCGTTTTCTTTCTTACCATCATTTTTTTAAAGATCTAACTGGATTTTTTTTCAGCATTCTTTTAGCTCGTCCTCCTTCCCAATCAATACAGTTATTAATAATACCTCTTCGAGTATCAAATCATTACTGAATAAGGTAGCGTTCAGACGCAACTCCATTTGAAAGCGCGAGTGCGAGAGAGAGGGCGAATAATCCTTTATCTCTCTCGCACCCGTGTGCTTGTGGCTTCCATCGTTGATGGTCAATTGGCCACGATGGTCAAAAGTCAAAAATTTTTGATGGTGGCATCATTCCAAAACTGCCGCCATCCACGCCACAAACTGACGGTACCTTACTATGTATTCATGCATTGTTACGTGACGTCAAGTTGTGGTCTGGATCGCTAACCGAACAAAGCTAATGTATTGTCGGCGTTTAAGAGTGAACGAGACGAAGAATCAGACAAGAGCAAATTAAAGCATTCCGCGCGCAAAAATACAAGACAACACTCTCAAACTCAACTCCTATTGGCTATTCATGTTGGCTATAATCAAAATTTCCGTGGATTGGTGGATTCCGAATCTTCAGTCTGCTCCGGTTTCTCCACGTTCCACGTGTCAGTTGCTCGCGGCATTAATAAATTATTAATATTATGTGCATACAACACTACGACGACGTGGTAACCACGTCATTAAGTATATTACTTTTACAATAAAGTTGTTTTTTTTTAAGTCATCAAATAAATAATGGCTGATAACTTAGAAATAGATCAAATCAAACTCAACGACAGTCCTCAGTCTAGTGAAAAACAAAATGATAAAAGGTAAACAATCCGCTCAATAAAATATCGGTATTAATTTACTGCCACATTTTTCCTGCATAAGAGTAATGATTGATTCATTGATTGCAGGGATGTCAATAGTAGAAGGCTGGATTATATTAACTGGGATGATTACTTTATGGCGGTGGCCTTTTTAGCTGCTATGCGTAGCAAAGATCCTTGTTCCCAAGTTGGAGCCTGCATTGTTAATAATGAAAAAAAAATTGTGGGCGTTGGCTACAATGGTATGCCAAATGGATGCAGTGATAATGACTTCCCTTGGAAAAAACATTCGGATGATCCATTAGAAAACAAGTTCTTATATGGTGTGAACTCATGATTAATTATACGATTAGGTCATCATCACGTTATATCGCTACTTTGATGACAATTGAATTGTTTCTAGTGTGCCATGCTGAGTTGAATGCAATTTTGAACAAACAATCTGAAAGTGTTAAAAACTGTACTCTTTACGTTGCTTTGTTTCCATGCAACGAATGTGCAAAGGTGATAATTCAGTCTGGAATCAAAAAAATCTATTACTTGTCTGATAAGCATTCGCACAAAATTTCTACTAAGGCCTCGAAAAGAATGCTAGATGCTGCCAATGTTAAATACAGGTAGGATTTGGAGTTGCGTGAGTATTCAACTATTGTGTTCACTTATTTCATCCTAATTTAATGGTATTCTTTCTTTTTTCAGTCAATATAAGCCGGCGCAGGAGAAAATTGTGATTGACTTTACTGCAATAAATTGGAATAACATGAATCAGTTGCCTGAGAGCCCAGACAAATAGTTGGCTGCTTCAAAAATAATTTTTAATTTTAACTAAATCACACCAAAATTTAGTACAAAATGTATTACAAAATTAAGTTTGACATTGTTAAACTGAATAGTGCTTTACAGTTGAAATATAAAATTGAATAATTTATCCTTAAAATATATAAAAATGTTCATTTAAACCATTTGTATGGTTTTTGGTGGATGTAGAGTACTATTTATACATGTGATACTGCTGTGTACTAAGCATAACTTTTAATGATGTAAATAATTTATTTCTTTATGAATGATCATTGGAAATTCTATTGATAGCTGCACACATTTTTTTTAGTTTTTACCAAATTATCATCAACGATTATCATATATTATTTAGTATTGTGTTTTGATCCTAAAAATACTATGCAGTTGTGTTGTAGACTTACTAACTGATGATTTTGAATTTTGTACATTAAATGAATTTTCATGCAGTATTTAACAATAAATTGCTGGTAATTTATACATTTTCATAACTATTACGAAGGTGTTGGACATTTTTTACGGAAAGTATGTATTTTTATAACTATTTTTACTTAAAGCTTCAAATAAATAAAAAACATTGTATATTCTGTACATTAACTTTAAAATATATTTTCTTACCCAATAGGACAGATTAAACTTTTTAGCATATCTCTGATTGTATTAAGGATGATTGTAATGTAATATAAGCTTTTTCCTTTCCCCATCTAGAACGACCCTATACCCCGACCTTCCAAACTGATGCCTTCCTGTTGCCCTGAGGCCTAAAGTCAGCCAACACCTACTAACCCACAGAGCTACAAACGCTCCTACTGTTAAATACATGATATACAAAAAATGTATGTGTTATTAATTATGAAACAATATTCTTGATGTCTAATTAAATTATTCAATCATGCTGTTTTACTGAAATACTGAAAAGATCCATGTATTTTTTTGTTACTACGTTAACAATTGTTCAATATTATCAGTCAAGATGCGTTGACATTTGGTAAGCATTACTTGAGTTGTCCCTGGACTTACTGATTTATTTCACTTTATTACAGTTGTGCGTCTGTTTTTTTAAAAAATGGTTGCCAGAAAATTATACAGATAGATTTACAGAATGCTTTCAAATACTACTTGGATAGTGTTTTTGTAAATTTGAGTGAGAGAAATGCTTGATATATTTCTCTAATATGTCATGTATGTAAAGCATTTGTGATTCATGCTGTGATAAAAAACTAAAAAACAAAGTAAATAAAAAAAATACTATTTTGTAAATGTGTGTAAGACAGTAAGTTACAAATATGATTCTAATTTAATTTATTATATTGTACACTCATTAACCTTAATAATAAAATCAATTTTTCACTTATGAAACATGAATCTACTTACTTTTAGTTCAATACAATCATAAAAAATATTACTTTCTTATTCAGTAGAAAAGGAAATTTACTATTTGATAAAATAGTTACCACAAAGTTACTCAGATACGTATATTTTATGCTGTACAAAAAATTCTTAAGGTGACACTAGCGAATCTGGAGTTTATATATAAAAGACGTACACCAATTAACTTTCTGAACCAAATTTACATGTAATATTTAGCATTGAATGACAATTATCATCATCAACACACACTTATATCCTTTGATGTATGTATAGATAGTTACAGTTTTGATAAATTTACAATTGATCCAAATAACAATCGCGATCATGTATATAAGGTGTAATAGGATTATTAAAGTCCAACAAGCAGGTCACCAGACTTGCGTTTTTATTAAAATTTTCGTTATCATTTGGTTTTACAGTCAGTTTGTTGTATATTTTTGGCCCTTCAATTCCACGAGAACGATATTTGATTGTACGCATACACACTGAATGCAATACACGACAAACAGAAAAAATGTTTTCATTAGAGCTCTGTATTATATGATTATGATAAAGACAGAAGATTTATTTTTCCTTATTCTATCTAATACCAGACTTTCTTCGTAATGTATTTAAATTCATATATTTCACAGAAAATATTCACATCAAGTTGAACAATGAGATGGAAACTGTTGATTATTTCAAAGTTTGAATGAACTTTCATTTTACAACGACGATAAAACAATGATTCTTATAATTTTAAAAACAAAGATTTGGTTCTATTGCTAAATGAACAATCGTCATTTCCAACGAAGTGGTTGCATATTCAAGTGCTTATAAAATAACAACGCTAGACAATAGTTGAAGAAAGTATTTTTGTTAATCAGATGCAGTAACACTTTGTTTACATGAAAAATAAATTTTTTACAATACCAAAACCACGTAAGGGCGATCGAACAGAAAACAATAGCGCTGCGTCAATGCGCCACCAATGCGTCGTTTAGCGTAAAGCCCTGTCTCAATGCACAGAACACCTCTCCTTCGCTCTTATAATTTCTTATGGGTTTTACGCGCGACTCAGAGACGTATTGACGCAATGTTGCTTACGGAAAAGCAACAAAATCGTTATAGAAGTTTAAGACTTCTGCTAACCGTGAAGTAAGCAGAATTTCGATATTGGCGATGAGTTTAGCTAAGAGAACAACGGTCCCCCTCAGACGACAGTTTGTGATTTTTTTTCCCCTCAAAACTCGAGCAAGGAATAAAAACGTATTTGCTTTCTTTTCTATTCACCGCAGAGCGCATAGACGCGAATTGTATACAAGTCTTGTATTTTGTTTTGTACGGACATTAATAACTTCTTAACGTCAATAACACTAATTTTTTCTCCTCTTTTTATAATGCAGCATAAAACTTTTTTTTTTTTTGTATACACAGCACACTCTGTACACTCGAAGCCCTAATCGTCTTCTTCTTCAGCCTATGGAGTCTCCCTTCCATGATACCAAACGGTTCGTTAAAAGTCTTGACCCCTCGTTAAACAATTCTTTTCATGGAAGAGAAGCTTTTTACTTGGCCTGTTATGCATGCGTGTTTGTGACCTTTGAATTTTTTTCTTTTTTTTCCCTAGACACATTTATATTTATATAATATATTACTTATGTACTACGTAAACAAGTAAACTTTCCTTTTAGTAGCTGAGCTCGTCGCATTAACAACGTTTCACTTAAATCATGCAATCAATCCCTTCGTTGCTCATACGTCATTAAATATATGTCAGCAGTACACTTTTAAAGACTAATGATAGCGCGTTTCTTATTTTCTCTCCAGCATCTATTTTCTTTTAACTTATTTCCCTCCTTTGGATGACGCTATACTGACGAAATATGATACACCTATCAATTTTCAACTCAAGTTTCATCATTTTATTCAACTATTTATATTATACTACGTTATGATCATCAATTGTTTAATTCATTTTTATGCAGTTTAAAATTCCGCTATCTACTGTTACGATTTTATACTTGAAGAAAGCAAGCTTATTTTCATTTTCAATAAACAATTCACTGTTAAACGTACAAAACCCATCAATACTTTATAAAAATTTAAAAACATTGTCAAGTCTAACCCAAAATTGATTTTTCGCGCGTAGGCCTAACACAAAATTCAAGGATAAAGAGTGAAAATACGTTGTGTGCAAAGAATGAAATAAAAAAAAAAATTTGCAATGAAATAACATTTATTAAAAAGAGATGGTTGATCATTCAAGTTTATACAATTAACGCAACACTGTTGAAAAATTGCTGTTCTCGCCCTTCGGAAAATCGTTAAAACGCATTTGACACAAGGGATATTTTACGACAGGGAACGTTGTCACAGTATAATAGCGATGGTACAATTTGTTCAAGTAACGATGAGAAAAAAAAAGGTATCGTTGATTTTTCGCTTATATGTGCGAAAACAATAAATGAACGTACAATTGAAATGAAAAACATGAAAAAGTATCGTTCAAATTTATAAATTTACTCATTCAACAATTCGAGTTTGATCTACATATATATAATTTGTTTTTCTTCACCTTTAATAATGATATAATGCGCGCGCGCGTCCGACGATCGGTATTCTCAATCTCATCTCTATGAAACCAATTAATGATTAGTCGAATGAAACGAAGAAAGAGGAGGAAGAAAAATGAACGTGTGAGCTTGTTTTCTATTGGCTCGAGAGACATTCGCGTTACAAGGTAAAGGTACACGTACAAAGTGAGCCTCGGCAAACAAAGTCAGAGAGCGAGTTCAATTCAGCACATGATAATATGTATATACTTGTGGATGGATGTATGTATATATCTATAAAAAGACACGCGTTGTTTCCGAAAAAATCGCTCGGAGCAGAGACAAAATGTATAGGATGGATTGTGAGAGAGGGAGAGATGGATAGAGAGATGCGTGTGGAGTTCTCGCGACAGACGAGGAGCTCGTGTACACGACTGACATGAGCAACGACAGCCGATCGGTCGTTCGACTATCGGGCGCTCGAGCGGAACTCGGTTCGGCCGAGGGTCGCGCGTAAGGATCAATTGTTGGTGTTGTTCGAGTTCGCGGTCATCGGCTGCAGCTCCTTCGAGGCGTCCTGGTGGTTCGGCAATCCCGACTGTGGTTGGTGCTGCTGCTTGGTGGCGTCGACACCGGCACAGCCGCTGCTGCCGGGGTTGGTGGGACCACCCGGGGGCCGGAAGGCCGTGGAGTAGGGGAAGCGCTTGTGGCACTCGGCCGAGTAGTCGGCGATGGCTTGGTCGCAGGGCCCAAAGTCGCCGTTGCGCAGGGCCTCGAGGACGCGCGTGCAGTTCTCGAGGTTGACGCCCGTGGGGAGCTGGAGGTTCGTGGCGAGGCCGAGGGCCCGCTGCTGGGCGCTTGGCTCGAGGAGGTACATCATGCGCGCCGCTTGGAGCGAGTGGGCCAGGGAGCCGGAGTTTTGCTCGAGGTAGTCGGCGTTCAGCTGGCCGGCGCTCCTGCCCTCGAAGATACTGGACGACTGGCGCTTCACGACCTCGCTGACGACGCTGTCGAGGTTTGAGCTCGCGGTGTGGCGCAGGAAGCGCACCAGGCAGCAGTGGAGCTCCGGGTTGCTCGGGTCCAGCCGGTACGCCCGGTTTATCGACCGCAGCATCAGCAGGGTTCGGCCTGTTGACAGAGACAATTTTTCATTATAGCTTTGACTAGCAAGTGTGCGGGAAAACGGTTATTGTGATCGTACAATCTATTTTTTTTATTTTTTTTTTTATTACTTTTAACGTCAAGTTCAACTTCGGGGCATGTACTCTACACTGAGAGGAAAAAATAATGAAAACTATAGAGAAATTCCAGAAAATTATCATTCCGCACAGTAAATGGGATGCAAATTAGCAAAACAGAAAAAAAAATTATATTTTTAACAATAAAGATTATTGTTTCAACAGTTAAAATTGTTATTCAAAAAGTAAAGATTATGATTAGGAACAGAAAAAATTTATATGCGGAAAAATTTATTAGCCGATCCTTTTGAGGGTTACTGTTCCCACATAGAAATTTTTACTGATTTAACCATAATTTTAACTATTAAAACTATAATTATAACTGTTAATATAACAATAATCTTTACTGCTAAAAATAAAATTTTTTTTCCATTTTTGCTAGCTTGCATCCGATTTACTGTGCGAAACGATAATTTTTGCTGGATTTTCTCAACAATTTTCATTATTTTTTCCTCTCAGTGTAGCATCTCTCTGAGCACGAAAAAAACAACACACTAAGCTCAAGTTGAACTTTTCCTGGAGTTTGCAAATTATAGCTTGCAACACTCGTGTGAGATGACACTCAGAGTAATCGTTTTAAACCCATATCTTCATTTCAATCTTATTTTACTATTTCCCTCAATTTTCGTTAACACTTCAGTTGATAACTTCATAATTATTGACTTCATAATTAAGTTGATAATTGGTTCATTTCATGGGGACAAAGGGGGTCTAAAATAATTCACTCCAATCTTATTGCAAAGCTATACGGATATTATTTTCAGCTAAATTAATTTCAACGCCAGCACTGACACTGTTCATTATTGCTTATACCTTGCGATCGTCTGGCGAAAAAGTTAACATGCATTCGTTGTCACAGCTATCGTTAAAATCAACATCGTTGAAAAAAAAAAATTCGTAGTTTTGACACCCGGCAAAGTCAAAGTGCACTATCGTTTTTCGAATCCCCCCACTGCGGGTGCCCAAAATAACATATTACTTTTGATTACACTTATCAAGGTTATATTAATTATGTGCTCAATGTTGGAAAGTCTTTTAGGTGTACATACAACTTTTTTTTCAAACAGCTCATTTTTCGTTTTATTTTATCTAACTGAAAAAAATCAAAGGTGGTTACATGCATGGCTCCCGAGTCAATCAAATGTGAGTCTGTTAAAAAATTACTGTTAATTATTAAAATTCATTAAAACAAAATAAAATAAACGCATAAAACTTTAAAGTACAATATATCATACAAAATATTCTAGAAATTATTTTTTTCCATTTGTATGTGAGCTTAGATTATCCGCTGATGATTTATTATATAGGCATGTTTGAGTTTGCGTCAATATCTTTCAAGTCTGATTACCTAAAATTTTAGAAATTATGATACATTCGTTTTTCATGTATTTATCACGGGCAAAATTTTGTATGGTCCGCCAAGAATTTCTAAAAATATACTGCATGTCATGAAAGCTCATGTAACATCTATCATCTTCAGCAAGCTTTTTTGGAAGTTTCATTTAATTCTTACGACAATCATGCGGCAATCCACGCATGAACCACCTTGAAAGTTGGCAAAGTATTCCCAACATTACTGCAGCCACGGTAATTACGTAAATTAAAAAAAAAACACTTACCTTTGCGAATGTATATTTCGAATGCCATTAAATGAGTTTCAATTTTCTTTGCAGCCAATTCTTGCAAGGGAAGAAGGAATTTTATCGCTTGCTCCAATGGATCTTCAACCTGTCGATAAATAAGAGGAATCAATAATTTATCCCAATTAAATGCCAGGATCAATATGCCATATTTTTACTTAAATTTAAAAATCACCTACAGTAAATTAATCATAAATTCGAATGATTCATTACATTTGATTACTTAAAAAAAACATTACTATACCAGTTTTTTATGATAAGATTTAAACCACAGCCGTTTGACTTTCAAAGAGATTCGCGAATTAGCCGCCAAACAAAAATAATAATTTAATAAAATAATACTCGAATGAATGGATCTTAATTTTTTTAAAGTTTTGTCGATATTTCAAAGTAATTCAAAGAAAAGTTGTTAATGAAATCAATGTTCAAGTGCCATTTTTAATATGTGCTCTTGTACAGGATAAATGAGAAATTTATCAGAAAATTTTACGCAGCTTTGTTCGAAATGATACAAAAGTTATGAAAAGTCTCATCAATCGAAAGTTACACAATTACGAAACAAAAAAAAACAAAAAATCAGAAAAACGGAAACGTTCGTAGCTCAGTTGGCTAAGGCGCTAATCTAATCTGTACGGCCGCTCAAGTGGAGCGCAGTTTTGAATCTTGTTGGGTGCGATTTGTTAATTTGTTTTCGAACTATTTCTGGATGGAATTTGTTCTCAAGCCTCGCAGCTGCATCCGCACCTTGGGGCGATTTGGGTAGGTGCAAGACTAGTTGATAAAGATGAGGTGTGTGGTGTTACGGTGGAAAAGAGGGGTACAAGGAAGTTGAGATGTAGGTTAGATAAACTTGACGGAGCCTGCACATTTCAATCCTATCGTTGAAATTTGTATTTTCGAAAATTTATGGCACCCACAATTACAGGAAAATTGAGTCTTGAAGTGTATTCTGTAGTTTGTTCAAAGTATTCTATACATTGTTGGGTCAAGAACTGGAGAGTTGGCCACAAATGCATTTCCCGTAACCGACAGAGTGAACGTTTTTTACATTGTATTAGTTACCGGTACCGAGCGATCGGTTCAATGAAACAATTTACACTGCACTGCGTACAAATACGTGTATAAGAAAGACTGAACTGTACGGACCCTTTCCAACTTTTCTGGAATAAGCTCGTCCAGCGTTGGCTGTTCCAGATCGGGATCGGCTTGCTGCCGCGACTTGTTGTGCTGTTCCCTTTTCTCCTGAGCCTGGGCCGCCTGTTGTCTCTCGAGCTCCGCCTTCCTCCGCTGTTTCCTTTGCTTATTTCTCAGCTTTTTCAACTCAGATGGCGCCAAATTTTCTGCAAAACCACAAAATACCAATACGTGAGGAAAAGATCGGCAAATACATTCTTTGGAATTAATGATTTAGAAACGATCAGAGATTTTGTTGATTACGTAAATGATAGTATTAGAATATTTTGTTAGTTCTAAGCTTTTTTTTTTTTTTTTTTTTTATAAAGTACTTTAATTTCCAAATATTTAAAAAATAATGTCTTCCTACAAAAATGTCAAAAGTAACTATGAACAACGATTTGTTAGAACAAAATTCTGCTAAAAAAAAAAAAGAATTCATATCAAAAAGACAATAAATAACCATCCATAAGTTATTGAATAGTACTGTTATTGTGGTTATTGGATATGAAAATGAATTTTAAAAAATTATTTAATCGTGGGGTGTGTCAGACTAGATTCGATCCAAGCCAGAAACACAGATCTCCTCAACGCAAATGTGTGAACAACAAATCAACGCCCTTACATGAGATTTAAAAATGAAGTTACATCCCGAAACACCTGTCGTGACGAAATCTCAATCATCGAAAAATTTGACGTACAATATCTTGGAGTCCAAATAATCAACGTCCGAGTAGAACTAATTGCAACCAAACCGAAAGAAACACTTGTTATGAGCTATACACAATGCACCAGCTATAAAGAGCGCAACATGTACCCCTATCTCTTTAAACGTGAATGTACTTGTTTGTTAACGCTAAACATGTACCACTACGTAAGTAAACACATATTCTATAATTAAAAAAGATGACGGAAGAGATACATGTTTGTAATCCAGCGCTTCGATCTTTATCTTGCGAGGTAGGTGTGAACTGTAACGTGAAAGGTTTTCAAACCCGTGTAATAACCCAATAAATAAACAATTACTCGATACAATCAACTCCCGAGAATTGAAAAAGTCATTTCAAATAAAATGGTCAGAAGGAGTAATCTCTCGGCATACGATTGCTAAAAATAATTTGGCGTTGCAAAAAAGCGACCCATGGCCCGCCCGTTTAGAAAATAATAAACTGATACGCAAAGCTTTCACGTGGACGCAGCAAAAAGACGTCCAACGGGCGCATCGTCGTACCTACTTCGACCGCACTTTTTTCAAAATATAACAACAAAATGCTCGACTTTTTGCGACCGAGCTCGCTTGCATCGCACTCGTTGTGCATATTAACAAGCACAATGTACGGTGTTGGGAACGTTCACTCGGAAAACGAGTTCACGCAGAGAAAGGGAGAGAAAAGCGACCCTCCATGAAAAAAAAAGAAAAAAAAAAGTCCCATTCCTTCTCGCCACAGCCTACCCACGAGCTAATTGTACACAGAGAGAGGGAGGGGAGGGGGAGTGAAGCGAGAAACCAATCCATAATCTCTTGGGGCAGGCATAAACACAGTGCAACATGTACGGTCTATGATAATAAGTAAAGAGAAGCGGGCAGCGGCACGCGGAAAAAGCCATATTCCGCGGGACGAAAGGAAAAAAACAGAAGAAAAAAAAAAAAAAAAAAAAAAAAAGGTATCCAAGCGCCGCACGTGAGCAACGGTGTAAATATGGGTAAGTTTTTCTCCTCGTCCCGTTCGAAGGTACGCGCAAAACGTACCTACAGGTAATTATAAGCAATCTCGCGTGTAGTGGTATACGTATATTAATGTCTGGTACAATGGTCGCGACGTGTATGCATGTACACCCACTTCCAAGGTCAAACGTGCAACGAGTGCGTATCCATAAAAGGAACGCCCGCGCGCTCACTTTCATCGAGCGCGTAATGTCGATCACGCGATATGTTTATGAAAAAAAGGGGTGACAACGTGTTCCACGTTTTGCCGCTCACGCGTGGACGCAAAACTATGTATGCGGGTACTCCTGGGAGGTGTACAATGTATACGTTCAAGAGGTAGAGGGTAAACCGATCGGTACACGGCACATGTGCAGGCGCACGTGCTCGCCGAGCGGTCACGTGCGGGCCGCGTATGCCTGAAGGAGTCGAGAAGGACGCTGTAATGGACAGTTCCGTTTTCGGGGCCTTTTTTTTTTCTTTTTCTTTTTTTACCGTTTGTAACGAGCTTGGGACAAATTAACTTATAACGGTAATGAACAGTTTAGTTGTCAATGTACGTTAATCGAAATCTGTCACAAATTTGATGTTGTTGGTGACTGTTTTCCAGAGAAAAACTCATCAACTGTTATCATCATCCAGACTCAACTGTGGGTGCTCTACGAAGGATTACTGTATTTTTCTCTCGCTTTTTCTTGGCCCGTTTGGAGTAAGGTTTGAAACAAACCCTACATCGAGCATTGGTTGGGTCTAAAAAAAATCAATTCCATCTTAAAAAACAAAAATAATATCTCGCAGTTTTCCAAAAAATTCGTCGATCGAGTGAAGATACATAAATATTTTTTTGCAAAACTACTTTTTTTTTCAATCGTAAAAAATTATTGTGCGAAAGGGAAAATATTTGGAACAACGAAGATATGTATTTCGCATAAAATAACATTTCAAGCTTTATGGTGATGATTTGGTGTATAGGCACTGTATACTGATATAATTCAGCTGTTATGATATACATTACTGTATGTACTATGCCTCTTACATGATACAAAGCAAAACTGATTACTGAATTTGCTCTGAAAAAGAGTGAAAACTTAATCAAATTCCAATGCCATTTCAAGTGATTAAGTATTTTTTTTTNNNNTTTTTTTTTTTTTTTTTTTTTTTTTTTTTTTTTTTTTTTTTTTTTTTTTTACAGTAAGACACATTTTACATTATATAGGATACATATTGCAAGTAATTACATTATTGGTTACAATTTCACTATTGGATAGGCCCATATTTTGCTGCGAGAAGATCGCCCATCCCTTCACGAGGAGCATTGAGTGGGGAAAAAGTACGTATGAAAATTCACAGAGATACTTACAACTTGCTACAGTCGCACTGGGTGGGAATCGAACCGCGGTCTCCCGCGTGCCGAACCATAAACCAGCCGACTGAACCACCGTGCGCTCATAGAATTCCAGTATTGAAAATTTTAGCCCCTGCTTTCAACCATAACGTCAAATAAAATTACATCAGCTGCTACAGACTTTTAAAAGGCTTCTTTTATTATTGCATACCTACTGTTTTTTTGTGCAGCGCAAAAAAAAAGTAAATTAAAATTCTCCATACGATAAATCGTAAAATCGATACCCATTTAATAACTTCTATACTTCTATAACAATAGGCAAAATGTAGTTACAGTCGTATAGTCAGCAAAACAAGTATTACAAGAGAGTAGTTCCATACGCGAAGGAGTACATCATTATATCATTAAACCAACTCAATTGAAGGCATAATGAAACTATGTAGCCATGCCCGGTGCAATTTTGAAACCCAATAATCTGCATACATTGTTACAGTTGCTCGAGATAAGATAACAATAGCCAAACGCATGAAACTCATCGACGGCTCCCGATGGGATTGAGTATACACGTTTTCACAACGCGCACCGCCGAAACACACTCCGCGAAATTGTTTTCCCTTTTTCCTCGATTTTCCCAGTCCATGTATATATATTATATATACACAGACACACTTGATCGTCCAATCCATGAATATCGTGTCATATAGATGGCCGGGTCTGTAAGTGCACGCGAGGGACTTTTTCTTTTCCATCCGAAAAAAAAGGTAAAGCCACCCCGATAAGAATCAATGAGAAAACGGCCTCTATATGGAATACGGAAGTCCATTCGTGGTCGGTGGCGGGGAGCAGATCAAATGAGATTAGATTCATAGATGAAAGTTCATGATCGGCGGGTACCTATATCATGGTAAACACACGACACGGCCTCTATGTACATATTCCTACATGTAAATATACGCGCGCAGAGAGAGAGAGAGAGAGAAGCAGACGCGATTACCACGCGTGTATTATATATACATTTGCATGCGCACCGCGAAAGATATAGACGAACGGCCTCTCAACAATCGTTAACGAAAAGCGCAGCGCAAACACAATGCGAGTAACTCGTTACTCTGGATTTACGAGGGCAGGCGAGCTTGTGCGGCGAAAAAAAGGTGGGCCCCCTCGAAATCCGACAATGGGCGAGTGGCCAATAAAATTCGGGCATCCGATTGTGAATTGTACACGGGTTCGCGTTTAACTACCTGCCCTCCGCTGCAGTCTCACGCTTTGCCCGTACACGTGTATACACACAATGTGTATATATTGTATAGGTGGTATGTGGGTTAACGTTACGCACTCGCGGCGTCGGCCGGCGGTGTAAGTGTAATACACATGTAGCTTTCCGTGCATTAAAAGTATATACTTACAAGACCGGCTTGCTTGTTAGGTATTACGCAAAAGTCGAGCACAACCTTACACCGTATATAGGATATCCTCAAAATAAACGCGGAATCAAATTATATGTACATATATATTGCGCTGCTATGATCCACATAACAATGCATAACTTTGCTTTCTTTCTGTATACTTACACGGTACTACTCCTAACTCGCACACGGTATCAGGGCCTTTTTTCTCTCTCTCTCTCTTTTTTTTTCCTTCTTAATTGTAGTCGTAAGAAAGAGCATTCGACGGTATTATAACACGAAAATCACTTTCGAATTATATAAGCGGTCGGGCGGGCAGCGATGCGCGATGCTATATACCTACTTATGTGTTTCACCCGCAACAAGTGTGCATGCGGGTATACCCCTGTGCAACAAGTGCACGTGTATATGTACATACATATTATGTGCGTGCCCATATTTATGAATCACCAAGCATTGCGGTAGGTATCCATATAATATATACACGTGTACGTGTTTAATAATGTAATTATACGTACGTAATATACACCGACACATTTATAAGCGATGTGTTAATAACACGTGAGTTTACGTTGGATGGATCGTTATTTGTGCGAGTGGCAGTGCTGATCTTTTATGCACGACTGCGCTATTGCGGATATCTGAGTTGTCTCGCGAAGTGGACCTAATTACAACATCTCCAGGCGCCATTACACGTGAATGACGAATTTA